GGGATATCGGGGGGGGGGAGGCCGAGAGCTGAGTGTTTGTAGGGTTGCCAGGTGCCCGGCATTTTTGCTTCCTGGCCGGGGGGGAGGGGGGAGGGGAGGAAATCAGAAAATACTGGATATCTTAGGTGTCCAGTATTTTTTAACCGGACAGGAGGCAAAAATACCAGACTGTCTGGGTGAATACCGGACACCTGGCAACCCTATCTAGGGATGGAGATTCCACCCCCTCCCTAGGGAGGGGCAACTCCCATTCCAGTGCTTCCCCACCCTCCTAGGGAAATAGTTTTTCCTAATATCCAACCTAGACTTCCCCCACTGCAACTTGGGACCACTGCTCCTCATTCTGCCACCTGTCACCACTGAGAACAGCCTCTCTCCACCGTCTTTGGAACCCTTCTTCAGTTAGTTGAAGGCTGCTATCAATTCCCCCCTCACGCTTCTCTTCTGTAGACTAAACAAGCCCAAATCCCTCAGCCTCTCCTCATGAGTCATGTGCTCCAGCCCCCCCTTCATTTTTGTTGCCCTCCACTGGACTTTCTCCCATGTATCCACATCCTTTCTGTAATGGGGGTCCAGAACTGGATGCAGTACTCCAGATGTGGCCTCACCAGTGCCGAGAAAAGGGGAATAATCACTTCTCTAGGTCTGCTGGTAATGCTTCTATTAATGCACCCTAACATGCCATTAGCCTCGTTGGCTACAAGGGAACAATGTTGACTCATATTCAGCTTCTCATCCACTGTAAATCCCCATGCCCCTGATCTTTCTACATGTGCAACAGGCACTGATAGATTTTAAACATTTGAATAATAGTATTTTGCAAGCTATCAATTACATGATTAAGAGGAACATTCAGTGTGTATATATATATATCCATGACATCCTAAGGTTTCATTCTGAACAAAATCCCATACAACTTATGCCTTGGGGCTAGCCAGTTTTTCGAAGGTAGACAGTGAATGCAGTACAGAGACTAGGCATCTTTCAGTAAGGAAATAAAAGACTAATAGCCAAGCACAGCTCAGTCTGGCAGGGTCATCACAGGCCTATGACTAATGTTGTTGTGCTGGGTCTTGCCAATGCCGATACAGTTGCTATATTAATTTAAGTATTTCTGTCACAATTCAAAGTAGCTACAGATGGCCACCTTGCATTTCAGAAAGAAACAAAGCATGAATGTGATCAGGGCTCAATAAAAAAAAAGTTCAAAGGGAAATCAATGTTTATAAAAGAAAACAAACACACGTCAATTTAGAGCCAAAACCCAAAGATGATTAACAAATACTGTAGCTCATAATCCATCCAACTGGCTCATCTACCTTATTTTACATGGTACTGCATACAGCCAAAAGCCAGATTCTGATCTTAGTTACTGGGAGGGGGGGGTGGAAACCAGTGTAAAACCTGCAGTCTCTCTGAATTTACAGAAGTATAACTGAGGTCAGAATTAAAATTATAGCTGCCTGACGAAAATGTAAGTTTCAATATCCAAGTTCAGGCTAATTTGTGCAGCTCACTTGCACCCTGAAATATAAACAGTATGCATACAGTTTGGATGCTGAACTTGTTGATTATTCATAATATGTTGATGCCAAGCAAAAGCCAGATGCAACCTGTAATGGGCCATATTCTGAGCCTGTGTCAAACAGAATAGCACCACTGAAATAACTGGAAGTAGGCCAATGTACACGATCCGAAGATCTGCCCGGAGTTCTTAATTCTTGAGGAAAATGGTTAGTTCCTAGCATACTGCAGGTATTTTCATGTATTCGGTCTTATGCAAATGTCTCTTTTCTCATACAAAATAGATCCTCTCTTGGTGTTTGACAATCCATGCTAAAAGGCTCTCAAGCAGGGGTTTGGAGCCCCTGGAGGGCCACGAGCTGGTATCAGGGGTCCTTCCAAGCAAGGCCAGCATTAGACTTGCTGAAGCCCAGGACAGAAACCCAAAGCCTCCCTGCTTGGAACTGAAGCCTGGGGCCTCAAACCTTGCCATCTGAGGCAGAAGCCAAAGCCTGAGCAACATAACTTTGCAGGGTCCCTGTGGCATGGGGCTCCAGGCAACTGCCCTGCTTGCTACCGCTTACCACTGGCCTTGGCTTTTATATGCAGAAAAACAGTGTTGTGCGTGCCTCAGAGGAGCCATGGAGTTTTTATACCATGTTCAGGGAGCCTCAGAAAGAAACCCGTGCAGTAAAAATCAATTACTTATAAAAGAATGAAAGTACAGTGCAAAATTATCGTGGTGCATTAAAGGGTCCCCCACTAGTCTAGTACCAGTGTACTAGCATGTATACAACACCTGAGTAAAGAAGTGACATATTGAATGGTAACAGTAAGCAAGTGAGAGAGAAAAAAGAACCACAGCTATGAGCTTAACAGATGCTGTCTAGCTAGGGACCAATAATGCTCCAGAGAGAGTTTTGAAAATAAGTGGGGGGGGGAGGGTTATTTGCATTTTTCTATCTTAAACTAAGAACATCAGCATAAAAAGCAATACTTGATTCTCCAAGAGTCCATTCACGCCTGCTAATTTCTCACCTGAAAGCAATCTTCCTTGTTAAAACCTCAACTGGCCACTGCAGAAGTGAGTGGAATGTCAAACACCAAGTGAAGATTGATAGCATCATAGAATCATAGGACTGGAAGGGACCTCGAGAGGTCATCGAGTCCAGCCCCCCGCCCTCAAGGCAGGACCAAGCTCTGTCTACACCATCCCTGACAGATGTCTATCTAACCTGTTCTTAAATATCTCCAGAGAGGGAGATTCCACCACCTCCCTTGGCAATTTATTCCAATATTTGACCACCCTGACAGTTAGGAATTTTTTCCTAATGTCCAATCTAAACCTCCCCTGCTGCACTTTAAGCCCATTACTCCTTGTCCTGTCCTCAGAAACCAAGAGGAACAAATTTTCTCCTTCCTCCTTGTGACACCCTTTTAGATATTTGAAAACCGCTATCATGTCCCCCCTTAATCTTCTTTTTTCCAAACTAAACAAGCCCAGTTCATGAAGCCTGGCTTCATAGGTCATGTTCTCTAAACCTTTAATCATTCTTGTCGCTCTTCTCTGTACCCTTTCCAATTTCTCCACATCTTTCTTGAAATGTGGTGCCCAGAACTGGACACAGTACTCCAGCTGAGGCCTAACTAGTGCAGAGTAGAGCGGCAGAATGACTTCACGAGTTTTGCTTACAACACACCTGTTGATACAACCTAGAATCATATTTGCTTTTTTTGCAACAGCATCACACTGTTGACTCATATTCAACTTGTGGTCCACTATGACCCCTAGATCCCTTTCTGCCATGCTCCTTCCTAGACAGTCGCTTCCCATCTTGTATGTATGGAACTGATTGTTCCTTCCTAAGTGGAGCACTTTGCATTTCTCTTTATTAAACCTCATCCTGTTTACCTCTGACCATTTCTCTAACTTGCTAAGGTCGTTTTGAATTATGTCCCTATCCTCCAAAGAAGTTGCAATCCCACCCAGTTTGGTATCATCTGCAAACTTAATAAGCGTACTCTCTATCCCAATATCTACATCATTGATGAAGATATTGAACAGTACGGGTCCCAAAACAGACCCTTGAGGAACTTCACTTGTTATCCCTTTCCAGCAGGATTTAGCACCGTTAACAACAACTCTCTGACTATGGTTATCCAGCCAATTATGCACCCACCTTATCGTGGCCCTATCTAAGTTATATTTGCCTAGTTTATCAATAAGAATATCATGCGAGACCGTATCAAATGCCTTACTAAAGTCTAGGTATATGACATCCACCGCTTCTCCCTTATCCACAAGGCTCGTTATCCATGATCATGTAAAGGATCAACAGGAATACGTTGCTTAATGGAGGTAATCTTTTAATACAGGTGGGTCAGGGTTGGACTCAATGGTTCCAGGACATTGGAAGTACACCAAGATTGTATTTGGCCCAGTACATTCAGAGATACTTTGGAGCAGTTTCCTAAGACAAAAGATTATTTACAAAGGGTGGGGTGTACTGGTTTCTCTGTATTTTCAAGGAAAGAATAATTAAAAGCAGCAAATGGAAGAGAAAAAAAATGTGTTTTATGAAAACATCCTTAATAAAGTCAAAAGTAGTGCAAGGAAAACACATAGGATTTACTAAAGAGAACATTGCTTGACATTTTTGAATGAGGTGTCAGTAGCTCTTTGTAGTTTGATTTCATACTCGATTGTTTAACAAACTAATATCCTTTCTCTGCAAAGAATGCACTGTCTGTGGGCAATATCAAATGCTTACAATGCACTTGTAATATTGTCAGAATACAAATATCCATCTGGGGTGCAGAAGGTGCTGTTGGCACTCCCTGTACTATTTGGGTTTTTAATTTTTAAAGGAAAATTATGTGGTTTTAATTGTATGACAATCTGATCATTTTTCAAATACCAGATTTTGATTTGTGACAAAAAATACAGGTAGCTCTTTTGGGGGACAGAAAATGAACCTGTGCCATGTTATCTTAAGTAAAGATGTTTATCAACTTACCTAACAGGTTGGTACAAGGGTTAGCTAATGTTTGCACTGAACTTTGAAGATGCAGTGTGTAATTCAAGTGCTAAATATTAAGGCTCATAGATCAAACAAACATCTCCTCCATTTTATAAAGAAGCCACTTTCCTCTTAGAGCTACATTAATGTAGCACCTCTTGAGCTAAGGTGCCTTGTGTCAGAGGTGTTACACACGAATGAGTTGCCCTGGAATGTGTATCTTGTTCTCCATGCAAGCATCCCCAAAACCCATATATACAGTTTTAAAAAATAACTGTGATGTCCAGAATAGTCAGTGACTTGGTATGGAGTAATGTAGAGCAAGTGAAATTATCATACACAGAGCAAGCAGAGAAATACAGAATGTGACAGGCTGCAGCGGGCAATGTGAAAGATACAAAGAAGATATAGAAACTTACATATCCGTCATCACAAGGGCTCAGAGAGTAATATCCCTTGATGGACAAACAGGCACACATTAAAATAAAGAAGATTAAAAAAAATAAGTTAACAGAAATAACTCACAGAAAAAAAAACAATTAAAAAAGACCCAAACAAATCAAAATTACTTGAAGAATAACATACAGTTGAATAGGAAGAGCAAGGGTGCAAACTCCTCTTCCTCCTCTCACTCTGCAATAAAGCTAGTTGTGCCTATGGCTGTGGGGCTGAGAACAGGATAGGTCTCTAGTTACTATTTGCATTGGTAGGCCTGCCACAGACACACCTGGTCTACACACAATTTTTACAGGTATAATTATTTTGATGATAGATTATTTTTTACCAATATACTTTTATACCAGTTAAACCCCTAATATGGATACAGATTACTGGTATAAAAGTATATCTTTGACTAATATTACTTACTCCCCTTCCTGTTAAGAAATAGCTATACAGCTTTAAGTGCCTTCATACAATTGTATCCATACTAGATGAACTGTACTGCTGTAGCTAGACCGGTATAGTCAGAGCAACAAATACCAGTGAACTCAGTCTTGACTGGATGATACCAACTACAGGTTGAACCTCCCTCGTCTGGCACCCTCAGGATCAGACCATTTCTGTATAAGAGAGTTTTCTGGATCACAGGAGGCCAGTGTTTTCTAGCAGCATTACTAACATTTCCACTGCTTACTGTGCTTTTAGAGGACATTTAGGGGTAAATCAGAGCTAAATAATAGCAAGAACACTGAGAGTTAGGACTGGTGGCTTTAAACAAACTTTATGGGGTTACAGGAAACTTGGTCACAGCCATGAAAAGTGGTCATCCGACGAACTCAAATAATTCTGGACAACTGATGTTTCTAGATAAGAGTTCTGGACGAGAGGCGTCCAACCTGTACTGAGAATACTGAGAATGTAATCGTCGCTTGGTTTTTCTCACAAGTGCAAGGAGACAATTGTGAGAAATAATGCAGCGGAAGGGTGTTTAGTCTAGAAGCAATTTCCTACAGAAGGCAACTTTAGAGTTACTGAGGAGACTTCCCAAAGGTAAAAATCAGGGCGTAGCTACACACAAAATCAGCTGTAATTCCCACCTTCAGTTATTTTAGTACATATCTGCTTGTGAGTTCACTTCAGCTGAAGACCAACCCTTTCCAAATTAAGTTGTTTTTAAATCTAAATAGGACATTCTGAATCCAAAATAAGAATGTCCACACATACTGGCACCAATATAACTAAGGTACAACATTCAACCACTTAGTTATTTTGGTTTTTGGTTGTGTGAAGAGGAGTCCTCAGTATTCAGTTACTCCTGCCATAGAGTGACCAGATGTCCCGATTTTATACAGACAGTCCCACTCTTCAGGACTTTGTCTTACATAGCCCATGTCCCCATTTTTCACACTAGAATCCTGCCCGTGCAAAGAAATAAATAGATAAGAAAATACTACTATCGGCAAGTTTCTCATTTAAGTGTCATCCATGCTGTACTGTTCCTATGATATATGGGTAAGGAATTTTGCTGCTCTTCATCATGACTGGGGTTTGGGCAAAAGTTTCACAAGAAAAGACAACAAATGCTAATTTCTAGACCATTGCAGGAGAGAGGGAAATAAGCCATAGGAGTCCAGATTCCCCTTTCCTCCCGCATTAAGGCATTTTATTCAAACATGAAACATCTCTCCTACACTCAGTAGAGAGGGCAGTTACACCCAAACTGCGTATGATGCTCTGCATCAGCTAGAAAGCATAACCTGTCTTTGTCTAAAATATAGAGCAGTTTTGTTTCTGCATTATCCAAGATCACACATGAGCATTTTTTTCTGCAGGAAGGCGGGGAAGACGGGAAAAAGTATATTTTGTCCTGGAGCGAGTCTACTTAAGGCTGATATTAATTTACACAAAAGGTGTTTTTGTTTTTAAAATGACAGAAGTACACCCATAGAAAGTTTAGTAAGCACATTCTAGAAAGCTAAAAACAAGAATTCTTCTGTTGTGCCCCCCTGGATTTGCTCCGGTAACCTCCTGTAAAGAGCATTTTACTAACAAAAAGAGACACTTGCTACAAAGCAGTTACTGTTAAACTTGAATGGCATATTTACATTAGCAATGAAAGATGTGCTTATTAGGGAAAGCAAGCAGTGCAAGACAAGAAAAGGAAACATACTATGCTGGGTTACGCAGTAAAAAAAATAAACACAACCCCAAATCCCAGAGAGCCAAGATAATAACTTATGTGCCGTCATTAAATCAACAAGCACCATATGCAAAAGCTGATGTCTGACAAGTGTGTCAACGTTTAAAAAAAAGGGGTTTCCCCTCACAGTTCCTTATGACGTCTGCCAAAAGGACAAGTACAACATAAATATAATTACGGGTAAGCCCCCAAAAGGCAAGCAGAACACAAAGGAACGGCAGAGCGCCAATGGCAGAGAAAGAATGTATTATGCTTTTTTGAATAAAAAATTAAGGACTTTACAATGTAATATAGGTTTAATATGGGCGGTCAGATATTTGGATTCTTAGTCATAACACAGTCCCATGAAAAGGGCAATGACTATGACGCACCCACCACTTCAGCTACAACAGGCTCCATCAAGGAAATAATTTCTCTTCGCCTTTACACTTAGATGTTTCACTGACTTGAGCGCTTTGTATTTCATTGTTAATATTTCGCAAATTAGATGCTTCAATGGTTTTTATAAGTTTGTGTTTCACTGGTCACATTTTAAAATGTGACCTATGAATAAAGTGCTAAATGCACCAAACTACCATGATAATGCCCGTCTAGAATAAGATAAAAGATGGTTAATTTTGTGTGTGTGTTTTTATCTAGAGTACGATGAAAGGGATACCGTAACCGTGAATTTGCTAACCCATGCTAACTGAATTGGAGGTGTAATTCCCAACTCAGAAAGACATATCTGTATAGGTTAGATGGACTTAGCAAGCTACAAAAAGCAGCATAGGTGATGGGACAGGCTAGTCTGCTGAATCCCTGGACTCTCAGACAGGATTGTACTCATGGCAGCTAGTCTGTATTACCACGGCGTAGCTCAATTGCTACTTTTAGTGCACTAGTTTGACCAAAACTAGTGCCCATGCATCTACCTAAAATGGAAATGACACCTCCAGTGGCAGTGTAGACATACCTTAAGATCCTTGAAAAGTTTTTTTTTAATGTATTCACCAGCAAATAATGTGATTAAACATTAAATCATAAAAACAATTACAGTTTTAACTCACGGTAGTTGGTCAACATATATTCAAGGCTCCTCCTAGCTTTTTTTGCATGAATTTCTTTGATTTTTAAGGGGTTTTTAATTTTTCAGATAACTGGAAGAATATTTTTCATCACACTAATCTAGGCTAAAAACAGAAGCCAAGTTGGGAGCACATGTACACTGGTGCTTTACAGACCTGTAACTTGCTGGGCTCGGAAGGCAGTGGGAGTGTTTTTTCACACTCCTAAGTCAGAAACTTTGCAGTGTAGTAAATTGGCAGTGTAGACTTGGCCTTAGCAAAGAGCGGTCTGAAATGCAGATAAGTGGGCTAAAATTTAAAGGCCGATCCTGCATAGACTTAAATGTGAGAGTAATTTACTCATGCGTAATCTTATTTGGCATTATTCATGCTTCAATCTTTGCAGGATCGGGCCCTCTGTGTGCAAATTAAAATACAATCTGCATTTACAAATCAACATTTTAATTAAAGACCTTGGTTTTCCTTAGCCAAATAATGGCTCAGCTGACTACGATCTGAAAAGTTTTAAAAACCAATGTGTTTAAACTTCCAAAATTATTCCTTCAACTGAAAATTATTTTCAAGTGACAGAGCCAACATCTTGAAGGCCAACTTTCAATCCAAAACAAATTTTTACACCAAAATTATGAAGCACGAATCATAAATATTATTATGCAAAGGCTGTCAAATTCACAGACAGGACACATAGGGTGGGATGAGGCATACCTGGGAGGTCGACAAATGCCTTTGATGTTGACCGCGGAGCGTCCAGACTACTGCGCTGAGCCGACAAACAGCTGATTGGCTCAGCGCGGCAGCCATGTAAATTTAAATGAAGCAGCGATTATTTAAATCGCCGCTTCATTTTCCTATGCCGGGTAGTCTAATCTACATGCCTCTGTTGTCAGAGGTATGTAGTCTAGACGTACCCATATAGTGCAATGTAGAAAGTAGTACAGGGACAGCACTTTAAATAAAAGCATGGCCACAGCATGAGCACTGGGAGAGAGCTCTTCCAGCGCTCCACGTAAACCACCACCATGAGGGGAGTAGCTAACATTGCTGGGAGCCCATGTACACTGGTGCTTTATAGCCTGTAACTTGTTGGGCTCGGGAAAGGGTGGGGAGTGTTTTTTCACACTCCTGAATCAGAAACTTGCATCGTAGTAAATTGGCAGCATAGACTTAGCCTTAGTAAAGACTTTTTAATACAGATGGGAGACCTTCATCTGCAATTCGAGAGGTGTCGATAGTATCTTTCCCTTCCAAAGAAAAGTTTTCTGAGCTTACCCACACCTACTTGATCAAAAGATAACTGACTAGGCCTCACCCCATCTCTACCTTTGCAATCTCCCCTATACAGCTCACTAAAAGTAGCATAGCTTTAAGGCTGCATATCAGGCCAACAAAAAGGGAACTCCACAGTCAATATCTTGCACTTTTTCCTTTCTGTTAACCTGGCTGGAGAACAGATTTTAAAATGTTATTAAAGCTAATGTTTGAAATGAAAGATCACATGTTACACAGGTTTGGAGGAAAGGCTCTGTACATCTAGGGTCATAAACTGCATTTGAGCCAACCAAGCTGATCCAGGTCTTACTAACTTCAACAGGGCAGGACCACATGCTAAAACCTCAAGGAATAGGCTAAAAGAAAACTATGAAAGCTTAATAAATTTGCGGAGGGGCTAAACCAAACAAAACCACCCTTAATGCCAAAGGATGAGCTTTAAAAAATTCTGCCGTGCCAAGACTTACCTTATCTAAGT